TTTCTATATGACTTTAAGCAGACTGGCACATACAGTTGTCAGGCTACTTCCTATACACAGGTACCCAGAGAAGGAGAAAGGGAGGGAGAAGTGAAATTCAGTTTATAGTTCATTCAACGAGTCACATGACTTGGTAGGGATTGAGACCAGCTAGAAAAAGGCTAGACTTTCTGTAATTCATATAAAGGAGAAAACTTTTGCCTTTTGATGAGAACACCTTTCTAATTTGCATAAAGGCACAATATGAACTAATGATAACACTAGCCTAAAGGTAGAACTAGGTCTATCAAGAGAAGTTTAGAGAAAAAGTGCTTTCAGCTCAATGTAATATAATAATAAAGCAAGATATCATATAGAAAAACAGTTTCTGATGAGTAGCTAATCTCCCACACCAGATGTTCAAGGAATATCTGGACAACTATACTGTAAGGTTATTTTAGAGAGGATTTCAAGGTGGAAGAGTATGTGAGTTTGTGTGTTATGAGGTCGGCAGTGAAACTCAACAATCTTTTTAGCTTTAGGGATTCTTCATGTAAACTACCTATCTTCCTCCATATCCAAGTTGATTCCATAATAATCAGACCCCTTCTTTTCACAAATTTACCATGTACTCTAGCCTTCTTTCTATCTAGCCAAATTCCTCTTCCTATCTTCTCCTTTCCCTGACCCATACATACTAAAGCATACATACTAATTAGTACTGAAAATATACTTTGTATACAAACTGCTTTCTAAAATGCTCACTATCTCTAGCAATCAGAGAAATGCAAATTAAAACTATTCTAAGATACCATCTCACTCCAGTAAGAATAGCAACCATTATGAAGTCAAACAACAACAAATGCTGGCGAGGATGCAGGGAAAAAGGTACACTCATACATTGCTGGTGGGACTGCAAATTGGTGCAGCCAATTTGGAAAGCAGTATGGAGATTCCTTGGAAAACTGGGAATGGAACCACCATTTGACCCAGCTATTCCTCTTCTCGGACTATACCCAAAAGACCTAAAAACGGCATACTACAGGGACACAGCCACATAATTGTTTATAGCAGCACAATTCACAATAGCTAGACTGTAGAGCCAACCTAGATGCCCTTCAATGGATGAATGGATAAAAAAATATGACATTTATACACAATGGAATATTACTCAGCACTAAAAAACAACAAGATCATGGCATTTGCAGGGAAATGGATGGCATTAGAGCAGATTATGCTAAGTGAAGTTAGCCAATCCTCCCCCCCCCAAAAAAAAAAAAACAAATGCCAAATGTCTTCTCTGATATAAGGGGGGTGACTCAAAATGGGGTAAGGAGGAAGAGAATGAGAAGAAGATTACCTCTAGATAGGGAAAAGAGGTGGGAGGGAAAGGGAGAGAGAAGGGGAATTGCATGGAAGATGGAAGGAGACCTTCATCGTTATACAGAATATATGTATGACAATGTGAGGGAAGGAAAAAAAAAAGAAGTGGGTCACATTAGATTGGGTAGAGAGAAGTGATGGTAGGGGAGGGGAGAGGAAGGGGGGAATGGAAGGACAGCAGAATAAAATAGACATTATTATTGCTGTGAATATATATGTGACTGCATGACCAATGTGATTCTGCAACCTGCATACTCAGAAAAATGAGAAATTATATCCCATCTGATTCAAATGTAATATATGTCAAGATCATTGTATTGTCATGTGTAACTAATTAAAAAAAAAAGAAAAACAAGCCAAAAATTACTTAAAATAGAATGAAAATTTAGTTAAAAATTTTCTTAATATGTTCACTAGAGAAAGCTGCAGTTTTTGTTATTGTTTTGAGGTTTTTCAGTACTGGAGACTGAATCCACAGGCATTTAACTACTGAAAAACATCTCTAACACCCTCACTCTTTTTTTTTTTTTTTTTTTTTGAGACCAGGTCTCACTAAGTTGCTCGGGACCTTAGTAAGCTGCTTAGACTGGCTTTGAACTTGTGATCCTCCTGCCTCAGCCTTCTGAGTGACTGGGATTACAGGAGTGTGTCACCATGCCAAGCTACCGTTCATTTTTTTTCCGAGAGAGAGAGAGAGAGAGAGAATTTTTTAATATTTATTTTTTAGCTTTCGGTGGACACAACATCTTTATTTTATTTTTATGTGGTGCTGAGGATCGAACCCAGCACCCCGCGCATGCCAGGCAATCACGTTACCGCTTGAGCCACATCCCCAGCCCCATACCGTTCATTTTTAAACGATTTATGTGTCAATCACTGAAAGTCTATGAGTTGCAGTAGAAAAGAGTATGGGACTCCTTCATCACTTATACCACACTATTAAAAGTAAAAAGATGCCTTTTGGCGGGGAAAAACATTTAACATCACAAGTTGTGAAATAAACATGAAAATATAATCAATTTATATTTGTTTTGTCATTACTGAAAGTATGATACTGTATTTAAAAAGTAATGATTATGGTGATAGATGATGCGCATTAAGAGCCAGAGTCACCCAAAGGGAGAATCTTAAAAGGAAGCCAAGTTGTCTTTTATGGTTTCTCTTTGAGTCTTGGTCCCTTCCTTTCCCTATCTCCAGTGCCAAAATTTAGCCCCCAACAGGCTAGGATTTATCCTTCTTATTCTTGACCTCAGACTTTCCTAATTGAGTTATACCTCATACTCAGGGTCTTCCTTGGTGTTCTTCAAGAGATTAGTCCTTTAAGAAAACATCACATTTAAAAAGGATCCTTTAGCAATTCTGCCCAAAGTAGTGAGTAAAAGCAAAAAGTTATAAGGCAAAGATTGGCCAGGGGGTGGGGGTGGAGTGCCGACTTAGTTAGGCTACACTTCATACAAAAGTATGAACAGAGAGAGTTAGACATTGAATTGCCTAACCAAACAGCAATTTCTATCATTCGGCAATAAATCTAATTGAGAAGAAATAACCAAACATCAACAAAGGGTTCAACCACCTAATTATTTTGAAGTCACACTAGAGATATAATAAAACAAAATGTCTCAAGCTATATCAATGTAAAATATGTACATAAGCAATGTCATACTGGAATGAGCTCATAAGAAAACTTTTTTTTTTTGGTACTGGATATTTAACAGGGGGATTTTACTACTGAGCTACATCCTAGCCCTTTTCATTTTTTATTTTCTATTTTTTGGGGACAGGGTCTCACTAAGTTGCTTAGGGTCTTGATAAATTGCTGAAGTTGGACTTAAATTTGTGATCCTCCTGCATCAGCCTTCTGAGTCACTGGGATCATAGGCATGTACCACCATACCTGGCATAAGGCAACTTTTTAAAAACTTTAAGAAATCAGTTTTTAGCTGTGTGCACAGCTGAGAAGTACAACACACACTTAGTATGTGCCAGACCTTGGGTTCAATAAGAAAGAGAAGAAGGAAGGAAGGAAGGAAGGAGGAAAAGAAGGAAGGAAGGAGGGAGGGCAGGAAGGAAGGAAAGAAATTAGTTTCAAACTACTTATAGAATAATAATTTGAGCTTAGATAGCTTGTAAAAATTTTTAAAGTATTTTTTTTGGCAAATACAAAAAATATTTTGTAAATGCTAGTTTTATTTTTTATAAAGAAAATAAATGTTTTCTAGTTAGAGAAAATTAGAAACACTTCCTAAGAAAATGAATTTTTTTCTCTAGCGGAAAACCTTATACACAATGGGCACACGAATATTTGATCCTTGTTGGGGGAAAAAAGTTGCAGGCTGCTGACATTTAATTTTTAAATGTCTTTCACAAAGAATATATTGTTGCAAATATTTCCTCAGACAAGTATTTTATAATCCTTCTTGTGCCCCACTGACTTTTAATTTATCAGTGGAGGTGCCTAACTCAACTGTCAACAAGGGATTACTCATTTGAAAGTACTGCTTGAAAACTGCTAATGTATACTCATGTTCTATACTTTAAAAGTTATAATTTAAGGGTTGATAAAACCCATATCCAGAAGTACATATAATAAGGCCAATAACACACAAGTAACCAAATCGGTTTTGAAGCTGATTAGCTAATGTCAATACTAGATTATGGAATATGAGAACCTTAGTACCTAAACAAAATAAAGTAAAAAATAATGGCAACGATAAAGGCCTGAGAAATGTTTGGAAAGATAAACAAAAATTTAGACACTTCATTTGTTATGCAGGGTCTTTTTAAAAAAATTTTTTAAAGAGAGAGAGATAATTTTTTTAATATTTATTTATTTATTTATCTATTTATTTTTCTAGTTTTCGGCGGACACAACATCTTTGTTTGAATGTGGTGCTGAGGATCAAACCCAGGCCACATGCATGCCAGGCGAGCACGCTACTGCTTGACCCACATCCCCAGCCTGGATATGCAGGGTCTTAAGATTGTCCTTCTACCAAATATCTAAAAAGTTATTAATAGAAAAAAGTAATAAACTTAGAATCATCTCATTCATTTATGACAAACATTAAGAGTCCTGGCAAGAAAGCAAGAATGACTTGAGAGGGTTGGAGTTGAGGCTCAGTGGTAGAGTACTTGCCTAGCACATGTGAGGCACTGAGATTGATTCTCAGCAATCTATTCTATTTATTTACTTATTTTATAAAATAATCTATTTTATTTATTTACAAATAAATAAAATAATCTATTTATATTATATTATTTATAAATAAATAATTTTATTTATAAATAAATAAAATAGAGGTAGTATGCCCATCTACAACTAAAAAAATACTTAAAAAAGAAAAAAAAAGAGTTACCTGAGAAAGAAATATTGGGGATAATGAGTTATCTTTTGAATTATCCCAATTTAGAGTACCATTTCAGTGCCTCTCTAGAAACCTTGAATGTGAAGCTGGTATAATTTTCATTTTTCTCTTCCTTTAAAGAAGTTAGTTCTATTCACAAGGCTGCCAAAAGTTTAGTTATATTAGATCCTTTCCTTCTTCAAAATATCCTACTACCACTATATATATAATTTTTTTCATATAATTTAAATATACATTCCTTGAAATTCATGAACTAACCAACATGGTACTTACATTCACACTGTATGACATCTAAGTTAAATTGCTGAACAGCTCCCATGCTTATCTGTTTTAACTCACTATCCAGCAGCATCTGCATCAAGGATGTTGACAGATGCTGGCAGGCTGACATGCAAGCTGTCTGGGCGACTTTCCCCTGTTTAAATCAAACAAAAAACAAACAAACAAAAATAAATAAATAAGCAAATACAAAAATATACTATAAAGTAGTACAAAAATTATATACTGACAATCTTTTAATAGTGATTATTGGCTTTTCTGTTTCTGCATTCTGAATAGCTATGCCTTTGTATTGTAAGAACCAAAATTAATATTTTTAGTTCCCTCATCTTTCTCAGGATATATCATTAAAGATCTAACTGAAATACAAAGAAAACTGAAACACAAGTTAAAAAGCTATTATTATTTCAGATCTCTTGAAATATCTAAGATTAAAAGAATTAATATCTAATATTAAAATAATGTCTGAAAATTTTAAAAATATTGATATTTCAATATTAAAATATGACATTTATGACAAAATCACCATAACATCAAAAAACACACTTTTCCATATAATGCTCTCTAAGCTCTCCTTTGTATATTTAACTAAACCAAAATGAAGAAAGTTAATGTTGTAATTTATTATTACTATTTAAACTGTATCTAAAATTCAAAATATACTTTGAGCCATAAGTCTTTATTTCTACTCAGAATGCTAGCATGTGACACAGCTTTAATTACTGATGGGAGGGAGGCTTATTTACTAGTATGACTTCAAATTGAATTAAATACAGATCTGTATTTAGTTTTAGAAATTGAGTTTTAAAATCATTTGGTAATTTAGAAATATGTAGTAGTTAAGTGAACTACATATGCTTGTGGTTTTCTTTTATTAAGGTATATAACATTTAAATATATTTTCTACTTTAATAAGGTCCTGCAACTACATGAACTTTGATAGCCCTAAGTTTTCTTCTTTTAGCCTCTAGGTTATATAGCTAAATTACAATACTACATCACTTTTAGTATAAACTATTTATTTTAAAATGCTTTTTTGCATTTGAAATAGAAGTTTAAAATAAAATATTTTAAAGACTCTTCTAGATAAAATCTTCTAGTATAATACTGCTCCTAGAATGGCCACCTCTAGCCATTATGAGATTTGGTGATTTGATGATAAAATTTAAGATCTATGGTTATGGTTAGAAAAAATGACTTTCTGGAGACAAGCCATGTTTTGCTTCATTTCCATTAATAAATATTTAACCATTTATATTTAATAATTAGGTTTCTTCCTACTTAACACAAAGACAATAAAGTTACAATCATGAAAAAATATCTTCCAAACATAATTGCTACAATAAATGGGTACAAAAATGTTTATGTGGATTTGATTTGAAAAGTAATAAAGAACATAAATATATTTTCACATTTGTTAGAATGTTTGTTCTTTAACTTACATATTAATAATCAGACTGGAAACAAAGAACTTTTATGAATGATTCGTTAGCATTTAGACACTATGCACAGTAGAAAACTGAAATGGAATGTCAATTTCTCAATCAAAAACTTGAGATAAAAGCTGATGCAAACAATATACTTGACAGATACTGATGAACTGCCAAAAAGGAATGTAACAAACAATGAAAAACCCAGCATGCTTCAAGATCCCCCAGTCCTAAAAGGAATTAGTCTGGGAGACATGCAGCTCCATTCCCCAAGCAGAATAATATCAATATGAATGAGAGGGGGGATAAAAGCAGAAAAAGAAGAAATCAATGACCAGTTATTTAATTACAATATAATAGGTTTGTGAAAATGGAAATGTCATTGTGACCTAATGGAACAACTATTATATTTTAGTTTAATGTACTTCTTCATCAAATCAGCTCCATGTTCTATTTATGTTGCTACTATAATGTACTCACTACAAAAACAGATTAATAAACTGCAAATTTTATTATTAAATTCATTTTAAGTTCATTTAAGCAAATACACTGCACAATATAAGTAGTATTGTTTTCAGTGAACCTTTAAAATTTAACAGATTCAGAGGCTACAAATATATATGTGTGTGTGTGTGTGTGTGTGTGTGTGTGTGTGTAACTGGAGCTGAAAATGATGGTTAGAGTACAGATAAAGTTATTCCATAAAATGGTAGGAATGGGTAATGAAAATTCATATTTAAGTTACATATAATAATAAAATCCTAACATTATTTTTTTTTGATTAGGCATATTAAATACAGGCTTATTGTTCTCAAAGAAGTTTAAAATATTTATAAAATATTTTATAACTTTTTCAAATGAAATAAATTCTTCGTTACTAGAGATCAAAATTTAAGTTAATAATATCAAAGGTTCAGATTCTTTCCATTTAAAAAATTATGTTCTATAAGATTACATACTTTTAAAGTGCCTACTTTCTAACAATAGAAAGTGTACATATATTCTTAGATTTCATCTACTACTTAATTTTATTTATTTATTTATTTATTTGAGAGAGAGAGAGAGAGAGAGAGAGAGAGAATTTTTTATTTATTTTTTTAGTTTTCGGCAGACACAACATCTTTGTTTGTATGTGGTGCTGAGGATCGAACCCATGCCGCACGCATGCCAGGCGAGTGTGCTACCGCTTGAGCCACATCCCCAGCCCCTACTACTTACTTTTAGATAGAAAAATTCTAATCTCTCCAAAATATGCACACCTAAAAAATATATTTGACAATTTATTTCTGATGCGTATGGCCCTGCACATACTTTGATATAATTAAACACCACTCTTGAATAATATTACTGCTGTTATTGTTGAAGCTTTTAATAATTTAATAATTTTATAAGACAAAACCAATCTAACAATTTTTATAATTATCTTTAAAAACTATCCCTTTTTATTAGAGATGACCTGGTTTTTAACCTGATAACAAAAAAGCCCAAATAATATATGACTGAAAAAAACACTGCACATTTAATAAATTTTAAGCACCTAGAAATTTCTCTTGCCCTCATCTGAAAAATTAATTGCAACTATTAACATTTTTCTCTTTAACAACACAAAATTCAATAAATAAGTTAAAACACCTGCTTAAGTTTTAAGTGTAACTATGTTTTCATGTTCTAACATTTTGTTGAAAAACAACTTGCAAAGAGAGAAAACCCTTAGACAAACTTCTTATATTTCAAAGGCACTTGTAAAACAGAATCTGCTGACATATTAGATCCTTTTTGCATTACCCAAAAGCTTTTCTTCTAAGAACAATTGTGGTAAAGAGACATTTGGCTCCTAGGAAATTCCCAAAGGGTCAACCATATGCATCCTTCCATGCACCTTCACAGTGCTGCTTTCTAGATTCATGTCTCAAAAGCAGCTTTCATCATTTACTTGTGTGTCAGTCAATATGATTTATGGACTGCATTCAACAAAGTCAAAGCATATAGAATGAGAAATATGACTACAATCTGCTAATTTGTTTTGTATTGAGCCATTTAAGAGTCAAAGACCTGATGTCAGACTGAGACCAGCAACACAATTAACCAGCCGGTGACAGATTCATCCATCCTCCCTGCCAGGCTGTGCCAATCAAAGACAGCATGAGGTGACATTTGGTGAAATCAGTAAGAAAACTCATTCTCTAAGTAACCTATGTGAGACCTTGATTGACACTTTTTGAATTTAGTTTGTGGAACACAGCCACTCTTTACTCAATAGTTCCTCACTGCAAGCTGTGAAATAAGGCTTTTAATGCCAATCACAGGAACAATAAACCACTAACCATCAACCTCAGTCTAGAATCAAGAAAACAAATGTTTGTATGTCAAGCCAAATTTCCCAAATAATTTATTATTACAGGTTAAGCTAAAGATTGTTTCCTTTGAAATATTATAAAATAACATGGTAATAAAAATACATGTTTTATAAGATTATGGTTCAAATTGTTTGGGTTTCAAAGAAATGTTTTCAAAGATCTACTCTAATAGTGGGAGAAATGTTGAAAATTTATAAATAATTGGCTCTTTGACTTTTCATTTGTAGTTTTGTCTCACCATTCTCTTATTTCAAAGATCTAATTTTTTTTTAAAAAAGGATTGATTCCAACAGTAATTATTCAAAAGCATTTTTCAAGTCTGTTTCATTCTTTCAAGAACATCTCATGTAAAAATATGCTCCTGAAATCACAACCACCTTCCTGTATTGGTTTATTCTTCCTTAATGATCCCAGATGAGTCAAATTCCCTTTATTTATAATCACCACAAAAACCAACTCTGCACAATAAACTACTCTTTTTATTTAAGTAAAAAAAGAAAAATATAGATACAAATATACTATGCATAATGTTATTTTTTAAATTGATAACAGGTTTTGTTTCAAAAGGTTACATAACCCTTGACAGAAAAAAAATCATGGTGGATTTAAATATTACACCTAAAACTAGAAAGTGAATTTATTAATTCTGATCCTGCCTTTTAAATTATTTAAATTAAAGCAGTAAATTGATGTTATGCATAAACTTACTGCCTCTCAGTTTGCTATATAAATTTCAGTTAGCAGACTATGAAATAGTCTTTCCAGAGGCAAAAGGGGAAGAGAACTATTTTTTTCTTATGTCTTTATTTTTGTTTTATTTTTATGTGGTGCTGAGGATCGAATGTAGGGCCTCATGTGTGCGAAGCAAGCACTCTACCACTGAGCTACAACCCCAGCCCGGGGAAGAGAATTATTTTGACGGATTCTTCAGTCTCCTAAAGAGCCACAATGTATATAGCCTTCTAAAATACACAGACTGAAAGAATAAGGTCTTTCACCAAATGTGGAGTAAATACTAAAATTAGAAATAAAAAATTCTTAATTCGAATTTAAAATGGTGAACCTAGGTGAAAAGTAGATATTTTAATTTAAAAAATCTATTATTTTCCTTCTGTTTCATACAAGAACTACTAATCAAAAGTCTCACTATATGAAACTACATCTTAGCACAGAGGTGCAAGCCTGCAATCCCAGTTATTAGGGAAGTTGAAGCAGGAGGATCACAAGTTCAAGGCCAGCATGGTAAAAAGTTGGTGAGACCCTATCTCAAAAAATAAAAGGCTGGGGATGTAGCCCAGTGGTAGAGCACCCTTGGTTCAATTACCAGCACAACAACAACAACAACAACA